AAAAAAAAAAAATTAAAAAAAAAAAAAAAGAATTTACTCCTCTCTGCAGCCTATAGCTTGTTCTCCAATCCCAGTCACCAGGCACCATTTTTATCCAATCTTGTCATCTTTCCTCCTGTCCTAGGCCACATCTGATAGAGGAGGCTTTTCCGAGTTCATTTGCCTTCAAAAAAAGATTTTTTTCCCCTCAATGTAAATCCCTTGGAACTTTGAGATTTTTTGGTGTGTTTTATTCTCAGGTATTGGGAAGAATGTGGTTTGTGAAAAGGCAGCAACTTCGGTGGATGCCTTCCGGATGGTGACAGCCTCACGCTACTACCCGCAGCTGATGAGCCTGGTGGGGAATGTGCTGCGCTTTCTGCCTGCCTTCGTGCGCATGAAGCAGCTGATTGCGGAGCACTACGTGGGCGCAGTAATGATCTGCGATGCCCGCATCTACTCAGGCAGCCTGCTCAGCCCCAACTATGGCTGGATCTGTGACGAGCTCATGGGCGGTGGGGGCCTGCACACCATGGGCACCTACATTGTGGACCTGCTGACCCACCTGACTGGCCGGAGAGCTGAGAAGGTGCATGGGCTCCTCAAGACCTTTGTGAGGCAGAATGCAGCCATCCGTGGCATCCGACATGTCACCAGTGATGACTTCTGCTTCTTCCAGATGCTCATGGGTGGAGGCGTGTGCAGCACAGTAACACTTAACTTCAACATGCCGGGTGCCTTTGTGCACGAAGTCATGGTGGTGGGCTCTGCAGGACGCCTTGTTGCCAGAGGAGCTGACCTCTATGGGCAAAAGAACTCTGCCACGCAAGAGGAGCTGCTCCTGAGGGACTCATTGGCTGTGGATGCAGGGCTGCCCGAGCAGGGTTCCCAGGATGTCCCACTGCTCTACCTGAAGGGCATGGTCTACATGGTGCAGGCCCTGCGCCAGTCCTTCCAGGGGCAGGGGGACCGCCGCACGTGGGACCACACCCCTGTATCCATGGCCGCCTCATTCGAGGATGGGCTGTACATGCAGAGTGTGGTGGATGCCATCAAAAGGTCGAGCAGATCCGGGGAGTGGGAGGCCGTGGAGGTGCTGACAGAAGAACCTGACGCCAACCAGAACCTATGCGAAGCGCTCCAGCGGAATAATCTGTGAGCCTGCACTTGGGCTCCCTGCCGTGGGGCAGAGGGGATGGGGAGGGACCAGAAGCTGAGACAAGTGGTCTTGGCCACTGCGCACATAGTGTGTTTCAATTTGTGAGTCAATTGGGCAGGGTTCTGGTGACGCCCAAGGTGGCCTTGGGAAAACATGCCCTGCAATATTCATTTACTCCTCAGACTTGGAGGGTGGTGACATAGCTGAGGGCTAGCAGCTCCCACCGTGTACCCGAGTGGAGCTGCCCCCAGGGCTCTGCATAGTCGTGCTGTTGAGCAGAGCCAGAAAAGCTTGACTTGGAAGCTGCTTCAGCCTATTTGTGGTCCTAACTAGGTGAGAAAGCACAGCAAGGACCCAGCTTGGCTGATTCCTCGGGCCTGAGGGAAAGTGACAAGAAGCCTTGTTTTCATGCCCTTCCTGGGCTAGAGCATCTCAGGAATGGTGAGGGCAGCAAGTCATCCCTGAGGGATCCGTACCTGCCCTCCTTCCTATATGACCAGCCCCTTCCAGCCTCCAGGCTGCCCCTTCTTTGGCAGGAAGGTATGGATTCTTCATTGGGTAAGCTCTCAGGAGCTATTGACCCAGGGCAAAGGGTCCCTGATTTGGTGGAGAGGAGACAGGGAGAGTTCTGGAATATCTGATAAATGTTCATAAATAAATCAGAAAGTCTGACACTATGGCATGTGGTTGTTGGTTGTTTGGTAAGTTGGGTTTCTTTAATAATGAGAGGCTTGTGGGGCGTCTGGGTGGCTCAGTCGGTTAAGTATCCGACTTCAGCTCAGATCATGATCTCACAGTTCGTGGGTTCGAGCCCTGCATTGGGCCCTGTGCTGACAGCTCGGATCCTGGAGCCTGCTTCGGATTCTGTGTCTCCCTCTCTCTCTGACCCTCCCCTACTCACACTGTCTCTCTCTCAGAAATAAATAAGACATTTTAGGGGCGCCTGGGTGGCTCAGTCACTTAAGCATCCAACTTTGGCTCAGGTCATGATCTCACAGTTTGTGGGTTCAAGCCCTGCATCAGGCTCTGTGCTCACAGCTAGCTCAGAGCCTGGAGCCTATTTCAGATTCTGTGTCTCCTTCTCTCTCTGACCCTCCCGTGTTCATGCTGTCTGTCTCTCTCTCTCTCTCTCTCTCTCAGAAATAAATAAAACAAAAAAAAATTTTTTTAAAGAAAAGAAGACATTTTTAAAAATTGGGAAAAAAAAATGAGAGGCTTGTGGAGTGTCTGGGTGGCTCAGTCAGTTGAGCATCCAGCTTCGGCTCAAGTCATGATCTCATGGTTTGTGGGTTCGAGTTCTGCATTGGGCTTTTTGCTGACAGCTCAGAGCCTGGACCTGTCTTCAGATTCTGTGTCTCCCTCTCTCTCTGACTCTCCCCTGCTCATGCTGTCTCTCTCTCTCAAAAATAAACATTTAAAAAATTTTTTTAAATAATGAGAGGCTTGTTTATTGTAGATTGTTTATATTTTTCTCTCTCCTTGTGGCTCCACAGGTCTGGCCTGCTCTGGATCCATCATGGTCTAGTGGGCATATTCCATTGTGACAGAATCCCAGGAGTCCCTCCTAGGAAAAGTCTTTTCTCACAGAACAAGACTCAAAACTTCCTTAATGGTGCCTGTTATACCTGCCATGTCAGGGAGATAGGGAGAGTTTAGGGCCTCCCTGGGCTGGAGGTCAGGACGAGTTTTGTTCCTGCACCCTTGGATTTGGCTCCAGGGAACCCTGGGAGAAGGGGAGGTGAGGAGTGGTCCCGGGAAGGCTGGATGGATTCACTGCACCTTGGAGTAGGTGCAGCCCAACGCTGCCTGACCCAGATAGCCGGTCACCAACCATGCTTTTTACTAACTGTTCTACCCTGAGACTGCCTTTTTTTTTTTTTTTTTTTTGTTTATTTACTTTTGAGAGAAAGAGAGCAACAGAGGTGTAAGCATACGAGGGGCAGAGAGAGGAGACATAGAATCCGAAGCAGGCTCCAGACTCCAAGCTGTCAGCATAGAGCCCGATGCGGGGCTCAAACTCACAAACCATGAGATCATGACCTGAGCTGAAGTCGAATGCGTAACCAACTGAGCCACCCACGTCCCCCAAGGGGACTGCCTTTTAACAAAGTTAGTCACAGTTGAGGTGGGTCAGGGGAGTTGACAAACACAGCCCTTCGTTTCCTCTGCCCGCCTGCCAGGATCAAGCCTAGACTGAACTCTTCCTTCTCTAAACTTCCCTCTCTCTGCCTTGCCTTGGGCTCCTTGCCAGAAAAAGAAACGCCCAGGGAAATCTCCCTCTTCCTCTTGGCACCCTTTCTAGAAGTCACCAGGCCTATTTTCCTCTGTGTTGTCCTGATTTCAAACTTTGTCCTTGTGAGCTAAAATAACAGTGGCTAGTGTTGGGAAGTGTGCTTGCTGAATTCTCCTCCCTGCTCCCCCTTCCCCCGTAGACACTTCACACGTATTTTTTCATTTAATATCCAAACCACTCTATGGGGTCCTACTATTAATATTGTTATTATTCAGATCAGGAAACTGAGGCAGAGAGGGACAAAGTTACTTGCCTCCTATGAGTTAAAAGTGATGAAGGGGCGCCTGGGTGGCTTAGTCGGTTAAGCGTCCGACTTTCGCTTAGGTCATGATCTCGCGGTTCGTGGGTTCGAGCCCCGCGTCGGGCTCTGTGCTGACTGCCAGCTCGGAGCCTGGAGCCTGTTTCAGTCTGTGACACCCTCTCTNATGTGTTTTGCTGGTCAGAATCATATTGAATTCTACAGGTATCAGCATGTAATAAAGTTAATTTGAAAGACACTCAGTTAAATGGTATGTAGTCCTGCTTAAAAATGGGAATGAATTAGGGCGCCTGGGTGGCTTAGTCAGTTGAGCGTCTGACTTTCGCTTAGGTCATGATCTCGCGGTTCGTGGTTCAAGCCCCGCGTCGGGCTCTGTGCTGACTGCCAGCTCGGAGCCTGGAGCCTGTTTCAGTCTGTGACACCCTCTCTCTCTGGCCCTCCCCTGCTCACGCTGTCTCTCTCTCTCTCCTAGAAATAAATAAAACATTTAAAAAAAAAAAAAAAAGTGATGGAGCCAGGAAGGAGCCTGGTCAGGGTCATCTGACTATGGACCCTGACCTACTCTTTCCCCAGCACTTGCAGATCCCAGAGACTGAGTGCCCAGGCATTTCCCCTCCCCACTCAGGTCCTGCCCTCCAGGTTACTGCATTCTCCCTGCAGCAGAAATCTCAGCCTGTCCTCAACTAGGAGGTGGACTTCAGAGAGCCCTGCAAGGCAGGATGCTGGTAGAGTTTAGAAAGAGAGGCTGCTCCCTTCCTCCTGGGATGATCAGCTCAGCTCCAGGTCAGTCCCTCTGTGTGTTACTAGGATCATGGGATCCCTCCTAAACTGGGGGATTTACTAAGAAAGCTCATGCTTTCCCAGTTGTACCTGACTCAGGTTTACTGCCCCACAGGGGCACTTAGGTTTTACAGGGCTCTACAGCAAATCCCTTGTTGACAAAGACAGGTTCCCAGAAGTCCTAGGGCAGAATGCAGTGGGCTTGGTGCACAGCTACTTTTGTGGGAACCCTGGGGTCCCCTGTTGGTACTCCCCAGAGCCTAGGTTCATGGCCATCTTGCTTGGGTTGGTCCCAGAGAGGAGATGTACCTTAAAGTGGGCCTAGGAAGCCAGCAGGGTTCTGGCCCTCAGGGGTGACTGTGCCTGCATGTGGATTCCGCTTGTCCTACAGCACCCCCTCCTGGAGGAAGGCAGCATCACCTCCCAGGTCCTGTTACCTAAATGTCAGGATCTAGTCAGAGTCAATTTTTTCCAAGCTTCTGAAAATGGAGTTCATTTTTCCTCTCTGACGGCAACCAGAAAAGAACTTTCTTTTTTCTTTTTATTCTTTTATGTTTTCTCCTTTATTTGCATTTATTTTCTGCATGGATTGTTGCATATTCCCGGGCTATGAGTTTTTTTTGTCTCTTCAGTTTCTTCTGGGAGATCTTTTTCTTCTGTGCAACTTCCTCTTCTGGTTTAGGAACAATCTTTTTTTTTCCTGTAAGGATCATCTCAGTGTGACAGGGAGAGCTCTTGTATGGATTAATCCAACCACAACCCCTGTAAGTTCTATGCCACATCCTGGGCGGGGGTGTTCACCTGGATGTGCTCAATGACCAGAGAATCTACATCTAAAACCTTAAGTTCAGTATTACTCTCTGCATTTTTAAGCATGTGCAATAAAAATTCAGCACTCTTTTTGGGTCCTGTGTCCAGCCCCACTGTATGGCCTAGGCACACCTACCAACTCCACTGTTGTAGCAACGGAATGCCATACATTGCTTCTGCAAAGTGACATCTTTCAGGTACTTGGTGGCTTTTCAGATACGCATACCCTTGATGGCCTGGGCAGTCTCACGAGTGCTCTTTAAGTGAACACAAAGATTTGAACCTCTTGATTTGCATGATTTTTTGTCGGGTTTTCCAGGTCAAGTGAATAACAAACCATTTTCAAAGATCACCTCAGGCCGCTTACAGGAAGAGCCAGAAAAGGACTTTCAAAATAACTTTTGCTTATTTCTCAACCCCCAACCAGATGTAGGCCTCATACTCACCCAATCAGCAGTCTCTTGACCTCCCTGTCCCCATTCTCCCTTCCTCATTCTACCCTTCTCACTGCTGCCCAACTTATCTCTCCAAAATGTTAGGCCAAGATCCCTCCTTGCCTGTACCCCTCTCATCACTCCCAGACTTGCCTAACCTGGTCTCCTGACTTCCATGCCTCTGCTTCAGCCATGCTAAACGGCCCTCCTGTGTGAGGCTGACATCTTCCATACTAGCAAGGCTTTGTGTCTGGTGTATCCCCTGCTTAGAAGGCCACTCGAATCTCCTTTAAGAGTCAGCTGAAGGGGCACCTGGGTGGCTCAGTCGGTTAAGCATCTGACTTCACCTCTTGCAGTTTGTGGGTTCTGGTCCCTCATCGGGCTCTATGCTGTCAGCTCAGAGCCTGGAGCCTGCTTCAGATTCTGTGTCTCCCTCTCTGTCTGCCCCTCACCCTCAATCTCTCTCAAAATAAAGACATAAAAACTTTCTAGGAGTCAGCTGAAGGGCTGCCTCTTCATGGCTTCCTTGGGTGAAACGGTAGTCCCAATGCCCACCCCCACCCCAAGGTCCCACATCCTTGGTCCTCTTCTCTTCTGTGATACTTGTCTCCTTGCATCGGGGAAACTCAGCATTTTCCCCTTAGAATGAGCTTCTAGGAACAATAGTAGTTACTTGTTCCTTTGTGTGGCTTCTGTCACCTACCCTGCTTAAACAAACCTATCAGGTAATAGACCTGCAAATATAGATCAGTTCTTTGCTGGTTACTATTTCCTATGTCATCTGTTGGAAGAGAGGAATAGAGCTTACTTGTCAGTGCTGACCTGGGTCAGGCCTTAGCCATAGTTCTCAGGTCCACATATCTGCAGGGTTCAGGAAAGCACACTGCCTCCATGGTGCCCAGGGTGTGATTTCATGCAAGGCTGCTTCTCTCCGGGCCTCTGCTCCCTCAGCCATAAAGTGAGGTAGTCAACTCAGTTATCTTGAGGAGCCCTTTACCTATGAAAAATTCCAGAGAATCCATGCTCATCCCTATGGACAAGATTTGGTCTGCATGGTCCCTGTAGACAGTATCTTTTAGGGTGGTCTAATCACCAGCCAGGGAAATGTGTGGGCAAAAATAATAAATGTCCTGGGGCGCCTGGGTGGCTGAGTTGGTTAAGCATCCGACTTCAGCTCAGGTCATGATCTCACAGTTCATGGGTTTGAGACCCGCGTCGGGCTCTGTGCTGACAGCTCAGAGCCTGGAGCCTGTTTCAAATTCTGTGCCTCCCTCTCTCTCTGACCCTCACCTGCTCATGCTGTCTCTCTCTCTCTCTCTCTCAGAAATAAGTAAAACATTAAAATAATAATAATAATAATAAATGTCCTGACCCCATGACTTGCCTTGTAGCCTTGCTACCAGGCCAGTAAGCTTCCAAGTGACCCCTAAATGTAGAAGCAGCCTAGGATGATGCACATGTTCTTCCTACTTCCATCTGGGCCTATCCCTTCCAATTACCTTGCCAGACCATTATTTGAGGGGCCCTGCACATGGTTCTGGACTTTGGATGGCCTCAGCCTTTCAGAACCTGACCTGTCCTCTGCAACTTCCTTAGACCCCAACCTTGGTTTCCTTTTCTTTGTGCCTTTTATGGGGGCCCTCTGCTAGGTGGGTGCAGTGCAATGATATACGCCCTTGGGAAATTCACACCCTAGTGCAGAGAACAGTTCTAACCCACAACGGCAGTAGTATGTAAATGCTATGACATAGGGCAACACTGGGTGCTGCCTGGCTCACACACTTCTTTTTTTTTTTACAAATAGTTTATTGTCAAATTAGTTTTCACATAACACTCAGTGCTCATCCCCACAAGTGTCCTCCTCCATGCCCAACCCCACTCCCCCCCACATCCATCAGTCCTCAGTTTTTGTCAGCATTCAAGAGTCTCTCATGGTTTGCCACACACTTCTTTACCAAAGAAGTAAAGTGCCCTGAGTCTTCAAGGTAAGAGTGCACTAGTCAAGTGGAGGGGTAAAGGAATGAAGGCATTTTAGGCAGGAGAAGCCCCACATGTAGAGTAAAGGTAAGAAAGATATGGCTGGTCAGGGACTTATGGAAGCTACTGAAAAGTGTTTTGTTTTTTTTCTTTTTAAAGTTTATTTCGAGAGAGAAAGAGAGCGAGCAAGCAGGGGAGGGGCAGTGAGAGAGGCAGAGAGAATCCCAAGTAGGCTCCACACTATCAATACAGAGCCAATGTTGGGCTCAGACTCACAAACCACAAGATCAACCATGAGATTATAACCTGAGCCGAAATCAAAAGTCAGATGCTTAACTGACTGAGCCACCCAGGCACCCCGCCATCAGCAAGTTTTAAGGCATTTGGAACAAGATGCCTGGGGAAGCAACACCATCGGGTTCTGGTGTGTGTGTACCTGGATCAGTGGAGTGGATTGGTTGTGGAAGGGACCACAGGCAGGGAAAGTGGTGAGCTCTCACCTGGGGATAACAGTGTCCCAGGGCAAGAGTGCTGACCATGAGATCTAAAAGGTTCTCAATCTAAAGGGTACATTCACCAGCCTTGATGCCTGATTAGCTTGTAGGAGTCAATGAGCAAAGAACAGGATGGGCTCTGGGGTGACACCTAGGATTTGGGCTTGAACAATTGTGTAGATGAGACACAGGAGGGAAAGCAGATTGGAGGGAGGAGAAATTATTCATTTAATTTGAAATTCTTTATGTTTAAGGTATCTGAGGGGCATTCAGGAGGACCAGGAGGTGGCAGGATATGAGGGTTTCCAAAATGGCCAAACTGGTTATCCAGTAGCTTGGCTGCAGGCCTCCAGGAGAACATTCACATCCACCACCACCCCCTGGCTGCTAGGAAAAGGTCACAGATACCTTTGTTGGCAGGGCCACTCCGGAAGCAAAGTCTGGTCCAGCTCTAATTCCCAGTATGTGGAAAGCATTCCAAAGACATCACTCTTGGGGCAGGCAAATGAACTCTGACATTTCAGTGGGAGATCCCAAGTATTGGTCCCCTTGAAGTCAGACAAAATGCAGGCCCCTTCCCTGCATGACAGGGAGCAAAGCCAAGCACGTGCTTCCTGTGACCTGACAGTCAAGTTCTTGGGTGATCCAGTTGACCAATGAGGCTTCAAACCCTGCACCCACCTTCCCAGGCTCTCTTCAGCCATCTAATTTGGGAAATCATGAAGTCTGAGAAAAGGAAAAATGTTTATTTTCAGCAAATCCAAGGCCCCAAGTAGGGAGAAGGGCCAAAATTTCCCCCTCCTCCTGAGGGCTTAGGCTGCTGCTCTGGTTCAGGCTTGGGAAAAGGGGAGCCTCCAGTGGAGGCAGAAAAGTCACTTGTACTGAGGAGAGAGTGGAGGTACAAGTGGGGCAGCACAAACACTCAGCATCTTGTCGATGTCCACTTGGGTTGACTTATCCACCTCAGCCTTAAGGCAGCCGCTGACTCCCAACCTGGGCAAGCACCCTGGCTCTTCTCCAACCTCCTCTCCCAGGGGAACGAGAGCATGGGTGGGGGACACGAATGTACTGGGGCAGGGCAGAGTGAGGCCTGACCCCAGCTCACCTGCCACGGGCAGCAAAGCCTGCAGTTGCTCCACACCTGCCTCCTCAGGGACCAGGGCCAACTCCAACTCAGGCTCCACATCCGCCTCAGCCTCCCTGTCGCCCTCCCCTGCCTCATTCAGCTCAGGATTGCAATAGTTGATGTACTGGTACAGGGGCCGCAGGCGCTGGGCCTTTCCTGCAAAGACCCGTGGCAGGGCAGGGGCTGGAGCACCAAGCTGTGCCATCTCAGGGGTCCCATCAGGCAGGAGAAAAAGGGAGGGCCCAGGGGCTGACACTCACGTTCCAGCCCCAAGGTCTCTGAAGGTGCAGACACTGTGCTGGCCATAGCTGGGAGCACTGGAGCTCCCAGACTCTTGCGCTTCTTGGCTTTTTTGTGCTGTTTAGCAGATGGCGAGGGCTCACTCTGGCTACCTTCTGACTCCTCCTTCTGCAGTGGCAGCCCCTGTGCCATCTCAGCTTCAGCCTTGGGATGGGCTTGGTGGCCACGCCCGGGGAGGCTGGGGGACAGGAGGCCTAAGGAACCAGCCTCCAGCTTTGGCTCCTGTGCCCTGACCATAGGGAATAACCCTGCCTATTCTTGAAAGGCCCAGATTCTTGTCCCTTTTGTGGTCTGTGAGGCTCTGGGCTGGGCAGGGAACCAAAGCTCATGCGAGCTTAGTACCCTTCAAGGCCTGAGACCCCTCCTCTGGATGCTTCCTATGCCAGGGCTCCTCAGGTTTAGCCAACTGAGCCACCCAGGCAATCCTCTGCCAGGGCCCCTCAGGGACAGAGGGAGTGAGGAGTGACGGCGGTGGCAGGAGATAAGGATGCACTGTGTAAGAGTGCAGGATTTAGGGATCCTGCTAGGGTGTGAGCCCAACCTCCCCACCAGCCCTATAGCTCCTTCCCTCTGAAAGCCCCCCTCACTTGACTGGCTTCCTCTTCGGACCGTGACTGGGCCTCACAATGGAGGCTGTAGGCCTGGGCGGGCCTCTCTCCTCTAGTGACTCCACCTCTGGCTTGAGCCTCTCTTCCTCCTGCTTGAGTCGTTCCTCCTGGAGCTCTGGCTCTGAGACTGGGCCTGTTGGGCACCTGTCTTCACCCAGAGTCCGGCAGGCCTCATAGTCTGCTACCAGGCACTGGTCTGCCATCACTGTACCCTAAAAGTGACACATAGGTAAATGGTCACCAGGCAAAGGATACAGGGATCAGTCATAAGTCACCCAACATTAAATACCAAATGCGGATGAAGGGCACCAGCCCATGCCCCTCCCCGCCTGTGGAGTTTGTCCTGGCAGTTAGGGGGCCTCGCACAAAGTTTGGCCTCCTAGAGCGCCGAGGACATGCTCTTGGAGACTACACAGCCTGATGGTCACCTCAGAGCTCTGAGCGTGGCTACCAGGAGACTCCGCGAGTTGTACCGGCCCGGCGGCCCTCCTCTCCTGGGACCCTGGCCGCCTCTCGGCCCCTGCTGAGGCCATGGCTGCGCAGGGTCAGTACCTCCTCGACGGCTGCTTGCGGGGAGCGGGGCCAAGGGACCGGACTTATGGACCTGGCGCTGATCCCAGAGACCGGCCGGGCGGCGAGGGCAGGTGGGTGAGAAAGGTACCTGACCGTGGCTCTGCTCACCCCACCCCCAAGTTGGAACTACAAGCCCCAGAAGGCTTTGCGCCAGGGGGGCCTTGGCCCCAGACCTCAGGGACGGAAATTATTGTTGCCCGGCAACAGCAAGCCCGTCGGGTTGCAGCAGCCGGCGGCAAAACTGCTCTGGTGAGCCCCTAGTCGGAGTGCCGAGCGGAAGGGGTCGGGAACGAAGCAGGGAAGTGAGTTAGGAGCGGAGGCGTCGAGGGCTGGCGGGGTCAGACGGCGCGGCAGGGACCAGGAATAGAGGGCACCGTTGGGGACAGGGTCTGGGTCCAGAATCCGGGAGGAGGCACGGGGCTGAGAATGGGGCCGGGGGCCGGAAATGTGCAGCCCAGCAGGCCTAGGTACGCCGTTGCAGGAGGCGAAAGCAGTATGTGCGAGGGCCCGTCCCGCATCTCGGGGCCAATCCCCCCAGATCCTACACTCTGCCCTGACTACTACCGGCGGCCGGCCTCAGGTGAGTTAGGGGGTGGCACCGCTGGGTGAAGCCTGAGTGAGGGTCGGGCTCTGATCCACCACTGAGCCCCGCGCTCGGCCCCATTTGGCTTCTCAGCACAAGGACGCCTTGAGGGAAACGCGCTGAAGCTGGACTTGCTCACTTCGGACCTCGACTTGGATGCCACCCCTCTGCGCGGTCCCCGCATAGGTCCTGGAGCCAGAGAGATCCTGGACCGTGGTAGGCATGGCGTTGGAGGAGTGCTGCTGCAATTCGGGGGCATCTCCCTAGGCCCAGGGGCCTCTTCCAAGAGTAAGTTCGGATAGAAGCGACAACGAGAGTACGATGAGGTCAACTCTGAGATCAAAAGCGTTGCTTTTCCTTGCTAGATCTGGGCTCAGGGTTTGCCTTTCTTGAGTGTCAGTTTCCCCAACTATAAAAGATGCCGGAAATGCACTACTTCCTCAAAGGAGAGGACTGAATGCAGTAGTCCCTGGGAAACCCTAGCTCAGCTTAATGAGTTCATGCATCAGCAAAACGTGGTCTGTTGAGTGCCTACTGTGGGCCCTCCTTATAGGTGCTAGGAAAACAGTAAACAAGTAAAGAGATAGCTGTGATATACAAGATGATTAATGATCTACTTCACAATAAGAATGTAGAAAATAATCAAGAACAGTAGAAGGTAATGACTATGTCAGGAAGGGAACAAAGTGATGAGGTAGAGCATGTGTATACTATTTTAGATGGAGAGGTCAGGGAGATCTTTCTGTAGGAGGCAGGGTGGTGGTTGTTGGATCTCATGGGCTATATGTAGGGCAGAGTCCGGCAACATTTTTTTTCCCCAGGGAAGGGCCCTAAAGACCATGAGAAGGAGAACCTGAAGCGGATCAGAGAGATCCAGAAGCGCTTCCGTGAGCAGGAGCGCAGCCGGGAGCAGGGCCAGCCCAGGCCCCTGAAGGCTCTGTGGCGCTCGCCCAAATATGACAAAGTGGAGTCCCGGGTCAAGGCCCAGCTGCAGGTACCTGTCTTGGAGAGCCAGAAGTATTGTTTATCTTGTGGACCGACAAGCAGTTATACTCTGATATGAGTCATGGGGATGAAAATCACAGGGGACTAGGGAAACAGAGGCTGAGAGATAGCTGGTTCTGCTGCAGAGTCAGGCCGGGGGGGCTTCCTCAGAAGTGGTGATGGCTTGGGTGATCCTGAGGGGCAAGTGGCAATTAGGCAAGGGGAGAATTGAAGAGAACCATTCTAGTGAGATGGAACCTCACAGATAGAAGTCCTAAGACCAGAGGGAGGATGCATAGTGGGATGTTGGGGTCAGGTCACTGTGACAGGAGAAGAGCATGAGGTTAAGCTAAGAAGTCAGCTGGACCCACATCATTAAAAAGAAACAAAAAACAAAAAACCAAAACCAGAAAAACATTTTTCAACCTTTGTTTCTAAAGGCAGTGAGAAGGGCAGGGGCAGGGGTATGGTGGAAGGATTGTCTTGGGTAGATAGTAATACCATTTCTCCATCCAGGGTTCTCAGAAGGAGGAGCAGAATTGAGAGAAGAGACAATAAGGTCATATGCAAATTCGTTGAAGCTGAAGCATTTGTGGGACTCCCAGGGGGTAGGAGTGTGTCCAGGACGCAGATGGAGAGTCAGGTCTGGATCTGAGGAGTGAGACCCAGGGAGGATGGGGCTGAGGACAGTGAGACCAGGGAAGTGACCCTGGATTTAATGGCTGTGAGTGACCTTGGTGGGGACAGAGCCAGGAGGCTTGGCCAGGAAAGAGAGAAAAAGGGAACGGTAGCCAAAGCCAGGACTGAGGTAGAAGGAGGAGTGATCTGTTGTTTTCTTAAAGATGTGAGAGACACACATATTTAAATGTTCATGGATAGAAGTGCTTCTTCAAGAGGGAGGAGGCCAGTAGGGTTAGATACAGAGAAATATCCTCACAGGCAGAAGGAACCGAAGCTCAGTTGTATGGCTGGCTTAAGACTCTGACCTCACCCTGGCTCGTTCCTCTGCTATGCCCTACCCTCCAGGAGCCCAGCCCCGCCTCTGGAACAGAGCCCACCCACTTCCTTCGAGCACACTCCCGCTGCGGCCCTGGGCTCCCACCTCCCCGAGCCCCCAGTCCTCAGCTAAACCCACCAGGCCCCGATGCTAAGGTAAGAGGATGTATGGGGGTCAGGAGGTAGGGCAGGGATCCCGAGGGGTTCAGCAGCGTCACCCAGTACTGTCTGCCCCATCATGCTTGCCATGTCCTGCAGGAGCCAGGCCTGGGTGTGGACTTCATTAGCCACAATGCCCGCACTGCCAAGAGGGCTCCCCAGCGGCATTCCCGCTCACTGCAGGTCCTGGCACAAGTGCTGGAGCAGCAACGGCAAGCCCAAGAGCACTACAACACCACGCAGAAAGGCCACGTGCCCCATTAGTAGGTCCCACTGCCCAACACCCAGGGTGAGGGATGCCTATCGAGGGTGGGAGACAACCTACACCCTGGGACCATCGACTCTGAGCCTGTGCATCCACAGCTTGTTGCAACGCAGGGATCTGTGGCGGCGGGAGGCTGAGGCCCGCCAGCATAGCCAGCCGGACCCTGCCGTGCCCCCTGGTCACACTTGCATGCCTGAGAACCAGCGGCTGGAGACACTGAGCAATCTGCTCCAGAGTGAGTCCATGGACAAGGGGTAGGGGGTAGTGGATGAGGAACCCACTGGGGACCACGCACCCCTGCCCATTCTTCCTGGGTCCCTTATAGGCCAAAACCAATTGTTACGTGAGCTGGTGCTGCTGCCTGCTGGAGCAGACTCACTGCGGGCCCAGGGCCACCGTGCTGAGCTCGACCGGAAGCTGGTGCAGGTAGAGGAGGCCATCAAGATCTTTTCCCGCCCCAAGGTCTTTGTGAAGATGGATGCCTGACCCCTTTTATGGGGGCACTTATGGGGGTCCTCAATGAGGATTACCACACAGTTGCAGAGGGCAGGATCAGGCCCCATCATAGAATTGGAGTCCAAAGACAGGAGCAGTGGGGTGGGCAGTATCCCCAGAGGACTCTTCCCAGCCACTGGTGGCTGTAGAAGAGCCAGCCCAGCCTCTTAATCCCTTTGTCAAAATTAAACCTTTTGTACACAGTGGGGTTTGTTTCTATAAAAGCTTTTCTTCTCCTTGTGTCCCTCCTGCTGCTCAACTACAAGAAAGTCTCTCTGTTGCCCTGAACCCTCCTGCCTCATGTCCAGGGCAGAAGGCAAAATTGTTAGACTGTGGAGGATGTTAGGGCCGGGACACAGAAAGACCATGACTGTATTTGTAGAAAACCTTTAATGTTCCCCCAGAGTAAGAGGCCCCTGTGAGCAAGCTAAAACCCCCCACTGAGGAAGTCCCTGCTATGTCTCAGCAGCCTGGAGTGGCAAGGGGCTGCATCCTTGCCTGTCAGAGGCTGAAGCCACTACCATCTCCTCGCATGCTACTTCCCCAGCCAGCGCTGGCCTGCTCTTGATCCAGGGAGGGCAGAGAGCTGCGGGCACTGGGAAGTAGGCGGCTCTGGCGCAGGTCCCAGCATGGAGGCCCTTGAGACAGCCCATTGGAACAAGGAGGCTGGCGGTTCTCAATGACCAGATCACTGCTGTCATCATCACTTTCGGCCTCAGCAGGCCCAGGCCCAGCAGAGGAAGGCCCTGACAGACGACCAGAAGCCCCACGCACCACATTATTGCGCTGATTGGCTGGCTTGACAGTGACAATGAGGTTGTGGCTGTTGGCGACCATCATGTCTGTCACTTGGTCCAAGGTCTTCCCAGCGACCTCAATACCATTGACCTCAAGGATCTCATCACTGACTGCCAGCAGCCCTGTACTCTCAGCCAGGCCCCCTCGTACCAGGCGGGAGATGAAGATGCCTGGAACCCGTTCCAGGCCCTGGGGAGCGACACGTACACTCATGCCATCTCGGATGTAGAAACCCAAGGGGCGGTCAGAGCCATGCTTGTGCAGCCGCACCCGTCGGTGGGTCTCAGGCAGTAGGTCCACATCTATGACTGAAGAAACCTGGCGGAAATCTTGAGGCAGGCTAATTAGCAGCGGTGGCCGGGTGCGCAGGGGTGCCACTGGCCGAAGTAGAAGCCCTTTCTTGCGCCGTTGCAGAGAGTTGGAGGCAAAGGCCAGGCCACTGGAGTCGGCTTCTGCTGCAGGAGAGGGAGGGCGGCACTGAGATCAGAGACCCTGCTCTCTCACTTCCCCCTTGGGGAAATGGGCACTGTAGCTATTTCCTACCACTTGGAGGTCAGGGTAAGGGCAGGGACTGCGGAGGGTGAAGGAAGCCTGGATGCCCCGGGCATGGACTAACCCTTGTAGACCTGCCCTGCTGTCCTACCCCACAGAGGCTGCCCACTGTAACCCATCCTCCTCACCCCGCTTCTGTACTAGCAGGCGCAGCGGTGGGGGCCCGCTGGCCAGGGCCCGGTGCAGGCTGTCGTCGTTGGTGAGGGGCAGTAGGTCGCCGTGAGCATCTGTGTAGCCAAGCAGCACGTCCAGGCCCGGGATCTGGTGCACTGCACGCAGCAACCGCGAAAATTCTTGGAAGCCACTCACCGAAGCGCGGGGCAGCGCAAAGCGTCGGAACTCAGCATCAAACTGGAGGCAAGGGATGGGTGAGAGGAGAGGTCAGCACGGAGCCCGTGCCCTTTCCCACCACTGGTCCGAGGGTGTTCGAGGTCGGAAAGGGCTGTCGCAACAGCTGCAGCCTTGTGCCCAGACCTCAGCTCCAGTACAAGGGACGCTGTCCAAGGTCTTCTCCCCGCCCTCCAGGTACCAAGGCCACAGAGGGACTCTAGAAGCCGGCAGTGGAAAGGAGGATAGATGGAGAAAAAAGAGAGGAAAAGCCGGAGAATGGGACATGAACGATGGAGGCGAGAAAAAGGTGGTGGGGACTAAGGAGCCAGGAAAAGGGAGAATAAGGGAATTGGAAGCGCCTAGGGCCGAGGCCGGAGCCAGGGCCAGAGGGGCCCTTACTTTGCTCTTCACCTCGACGATGTTGTCGGGACTGCGCGCCGGAGTCCTCTGCGGCCTGGCCATGGTGGGGCCGGGCGGGCTGGGGACGGTGCCCCAGGCGGCCCGCGGAGGCGCAGGTGCACAGCCCCAGCCGGCTGGCCCGTGCTGCCCCGCCCCTGGCGGTAGCACTCGCCCCGCCCTCCCATCCTGACCATGACGTCAAGGGGGCAGCGACTGAGAGTGGAACGTAGAGTCCACGTTTCCTAGGAAACGGACAAGGGGGTGGAGGCGTCTTCTTTTGCTCTTACGTCATTACGCTACGGTGCGCAAGTCTCTGGAGCCTGGGGGCGGGGCCTGGCTAATCAGAGGAAACGGGTGAGGGAAGTAAAATTTATTGAGTGTAGTCTGTACTGTTACTTCTCCTTGCTTTACAAGACTGCATGTTTTAGATAAGGAAACTGAGCCATAATAAATATATGCTGAACACCTCGGTTCACAAGGTGTTGAAGTGGCTTTGAGCCAACTGGCTTGACCACTCCTGGCCGCAGCCTCAAGCCTCAGATTCCTCCCTCTCCATTTGAGCCATCCTAGCCGGTAGAACAGAAGTCTTGACGAATGGCCCAAACGCCGGGCCGCTGCTCGGAGATACCCTGGTGAGACCAAGCAGATTGTCATACGTTTTACCCAACAGTCTGCACGCAAATTCTCGAACAACACGGGCTTGTGCGCACGCGCGGGCACGCACTTGGGCGGGGCCTCGACCTTAGGTCCCGCCCAGCCGCGGTCCGCTTCCTCTTCCGACGAGAGGCGGGGTCGCGACGTCCGCGGGAAACACAGGCTGGAGGTTCCCGGCTCGGTGCCGCCCCGGGAATGGCAGGCTCGGGGAGCTTGGTCCTGCGGCCCTGGATTCGAGAGCTGGTCCTGGGGTCAGGTGCACTCTCAAGTCCGCAGGCGGGGCAGCTGCTCGAGGTGAGCCTCCCTCCCACACCCTTTTCACGGCTCAGAGACCAGGGCAGGGAGGGCCCGAGGGCGGTGGGATTGATGCCGGTCGACGCCGTCAGGTGCTACGAGAGGTCGAGGCTTCGGGCCCGTCCCGAGCCCGTGAATCGTCTGATATCGCGGCCGCACTGCTTGTGTCTGACGGGACCCACAGTGTCCGGTGCTTAATGACGTGGGAAGCCCTGGACGCCTCGAATTGGTGAGAGAGGAGACGCAGGGTCGGGGGAAATCGGAGTCTAGGGGGAGAGCGCGAGGCGGAGGTGGGCGGGCCTCAGGCGGGCTGGGCTGTGTTCCAACGGGTTATGGCGGCTAGTGTTGTGCTTGCCGCAGGGAGGAGAAGGAGTTCGGCTTCCGAGGGGCAGAAGGCCGGCTGATGCTACTGCAGGATTGCGGGGTCCGCATCCAAGTCCCCGAGGGCGGCGCGGTGAGTTGTGAGGCTGGTTTGGGTGGGTTAATGAGCCTGACTCTTTGTGACAACTCCTAAGCCTCGTCCCTGAACTCAATCCTTCAGCCGGCGGAGTTCTACCTTCAGGTGAACCAATTTAGCCTGCTACCCATCGAGCAGCCCCGGGAACGGGTGATTGGTTGGTAAGTGTTGCCTCCACCCATCAGCTGTTCTCCCTACTCAGGCCTCGCTGCTGTTGATGTTGATCTTTTGGACGGCTTAGGCGGCTGGTAACCACTTTGCCTACCACCCTCCTTTTTCCCTCCAGCAACCAGGACCCGGATGTGCAGAAAAAGCTCTGTGACTGTCTGGAGTGAGTATAGGGTTGGGCTCTGGGGCCAAGTGTGGCCCTGTCAGGGGATGGCAAATTTGTGTAGACAGGCCTCAGGATTGTTCCTCAGGCTTGTCCTCTCTGTTTCTATAGGGAGCATCTTTCAGAGTCCGTCTCCCCCAGTGCAGGTACTTAATAGGGGTTGACCAGTGACCCTAACTCCCTGACCATTACCTCTTGCTTCTTTAGTAAGCTCTTCCGCCTGCCCACCCTACCTTTACTCCTCCTTAAGTTTTGGCCCATCTTCTGGTCCCCTGCCCTCAGGCCTTTCACTGTCCCAACTTCTGGATGAGGTGCAGGAGGACCAGGAGCATCGGGGGGCATTAGTGCACCTGGCTGAGAGCTGTCTGACACTGGCAGGCGCTTACACAGCACCCCCTCTTACCCGCTGGGCCTCCTCCCACCATAGGACCACGGTCAGTCTGGGCCTCCCCTTGGGTAATGTCAGGGCGAGGAATTGGGCAAGGGCTAGGCTGAGAGTTTATGCCCCACAGGGAGGAGAAGCTGTGTACACTGTCCCCAGCTCATGGCTGCACATCTCTGAGAATGACCAGCGAGTTCTGACTTCTCTAGGCCCAGGTCAGAGGATGCAGGGTAAGGAGGACTGGAGGTCAAGATGGGAGTACCTGGGGACCCAGTGCCTACAGTGCTAATAAGCTCCCCTTGACCCTCAGGCCCTGAGTTGCCCCCACCAGATCCAGCTTTGGAAGACCTATCACTGACCCTGATCTCTTCTTCTTCATCTACGTCTTCAGGTAAGGTGCTGCTCAGGCCACACTCACTGCTGTTAGCCAGGTTCCCAGCCTGCTGCAGAAGGTTGCACAGCCAGGTGGGGGGTGACCACAATCCCTGTAGGCCTGCCTAAGCTCACGAGCCACTGAGCTGAGAGGTCTGTGCCCACAGTCGGTGCCCTCCTTTCTAGGAACCCCTGCTTTACCTGGCCACCTGTCCTCTGAGGAAAGCGGTGCCAGCATCAGCCTTCTGCCTGCCCTGTCCTTGGTTGCTTCAGACCCAATGCAAAAGGGCAGCTCCCAGGCTGTGCCGGCCATCTGTTCAAACCCTGGCCCCCTGCCCCCTAGTTCCATACACCCTTGCCATGGACCCAGCTCCCCCCTCCTGAGCTGCACACCAAGTCTCTCACCCCTTGGTCATGTACCCAGTCCACATCAGGCCATTGTGACCAGGGCCCAGAAACCTAGCTTGGAGTTCAAGGAGCTAGGATTGCCCCCCAAGAACTGGCAGCAGTCTCCAAGGACAAAAACCACCATGGGAGCCTTGGAGTCCAGCCCTGTTTGGGTGAGCATAGTCTCTCTTTAACTGGATAGTAGAATGGGATGGGTCTTGGGTGGAGTGGGGATGGGGAGTAGCCTTAGATGGGGTTAGGGGTCCTTGTAGGCCCCTCTCCAGATACCACACCACTCTTAGGACCCTCCAAAGAAGCATCGTGATGGTTCTGCCTTCCAATATGAGTATGAGCCACCCTGCACCTCCCTCTGTGCCCAGGTCCAAGCTGTCAGGTGAGTGTGTGGGGCTGCCCCCACTCTTTTAACCACTAGGCCCAATCTCCATTGACCTACAGCCATTGTTCTCTTCCCAGGCTCCCTCCCCAGCTTGTGGCCTGGGCCTTGCACTTTCTGATGGAGCCACAGCTGGAATCTGAGCTCACCCGGGTGTGAGGAGTCAAGTGAACAAGTGGGAAGACGTGTGCACACAGGTCCATGACTGGGGATAGACCAATAGTGCTCCACACTGCTTCCTTTGAGTTTTTTAATAAAATAATCTCATGCGGCAGGAAAAGGAGAGGGTCAGGGGTTGGGCCCGCCGCCTCTTTGGTCTGTGGCTGGGGAGGGTGGGTTCTGCTCAGGGCTGGAGGGCTCTGTAGGCTGTGGGGGCAGAGGTTGGGCTCCAAGGCCGGGTCCTGCAAGAGAAGGAGGAAGGGAGAGGAGGGATCAGGACTGGACTGAGCAGTCCTGCCACCTCCCAGCTGGCCCTAGCTTCCTCTCACCTAGGCTTGGAGATGAGGGTGCTTCAAGCTTTGGCCTCCGCTTGAGAACAGGGGAACGCTGCAGCCGCAGGGGCCGTTCTGAAAGATACAGAAACACTTGGCAGGGGAGGGGGAGGAGGTTACGATGGGCTTGCTGCCTGTCCCCAAGCCTTCTTTCCCACCGCCAGTGTGTGTGCATAAGCACACCCTGTTGCCTTCTGAGGCCCTCGCTTCCCCTGCATCCTCCCATCCCTGGCAAAAGCTATTCTCCTGGAGGTGGAGCCAGGGCTACCAGGAAGGGCTGGTCAGACCCTTGCTCCTAGCCTTCTGGCTCCCTAATTTCTCAACCCCTTACACCACTGGGCCCCCCTCCCCCTCTCCTCCTGCACTCAGGCACACAGGGAGGTGTCCCCCCTCACCAGCAGGGGCCTGGAGCTGGTCCTCATGCACAGATACTGCTCGTCGCCCTGCCGAGAGAGGCCTCGGCCTCAGCTGACCATCTGGGGGAAGCCAAGTATCAGGGTATCAGGGTATGGTCTCAACAGCTGTCCCCACTCCAGCCCTTGCCTCCCCCTCCACCGTCAGGGTCCCCAGCCCAGTATTGGGGGGGGGGGGGCTAGGTGCCTGTTTACCTTCATTCCTAGGGCCCAAGCAAGGGTCCTCCGGGAGGCCCAGACTGTCTGGGGAAGGGCTGGTTCTTCGTGGGCTGGGACAAGGGGAGGGGGGGCCTGGACCATCCTGTTGTCCCCAACCACGGCCCTGCAGCTCTGCATTCAGCTGCTGTCCTAGTGTCTTCCAGGTGGTGGACTCAGGACCTTGGCCCCCTGGACCAGGTCTGCACGAGGGGTCTGCAGGGAGAAGGGTATGAGCCTAACCAGTGGTCTCCTGCCTATCTTTGCATGTCCCCCAGCACAGTGGCCCTTACTCACCTGCCGACACGGAGTGGGTGCGGGACTTGATTGAGATGGGAGGGGCCTCTGCAGAACTGTCCATAATGTCACCTGCAAGGTGGGGCTGGAGGTTCAGGCACCAGCTCTTGGGAGTGCGGGGAAGAAAAACCTGGCCTCTTTTCCTCTTCCCCCAGAATAGCAAGTACCTTGGGGACTGTATCTAAGGACAACTCCTTCACCAAGTGCAGGGTCCCACTTACCATCCGAGCCAGCCTTCTTGATCTCTCCATCCTTGCTCTGTAGGAAATAGGGAAGTCGAGCTCAGTTCTGTCCTGCCTTCACTCTAGCCTTGTGCTTGTAACCACCACTAAATGCCCACCAGGAGATGCAGGGATGGATGAAGAGGGATCATGTAACCCACGGGTGGTGAGGAGAGTCTAGAAGTAGCCAGGGAGGAGTTCCTGACACAAGAACGTGGGGCTGAGATGAAAGAAGTGACCAGGACTGAGGCCTTGGTGCAGGGTTAGGAGGCATGGCAGTGTCTTGAAAGGAAGTCCCTGGAGGACTTGCTGTTTCAAATGCAGGTGACAAGGTCAGAGTTCTGTTAGATCTATAGAGAAAGGACCACCCCAGCTCCAGGGAACCAATAGCAGGGGCCAGGACTGAAGCCAAGAAGGAAGAAAGGTGGACTCTGATGACTATTCTGAGGAGGAGGGGGTGGAACTGACAGAGCCGTCTGTGTGTCATGAGCCTCCTTCTGGTCACATATGTCACCCACAGAATGCCACATGTCACCTGCCCCCTCACTTTGCACTTGTGTCCCTCCCAACTTACTTGCTTCCTCTTGCCTTCACTCCCGCTGCCTCTGCTCACACCGATCCTTTGCAGCATCACTTGTACCCGCTGTTCAAAAGATGGGGCCAGCTCTGTGTCTCCCCGCTCCAGGGGCCGCCGCTGAGGACACAGAAGCCCAAGTTGGGAGAGAGCCCACTCCCTCGGTCCTAGGAGACCCCTCACCCCTTGTCACCAGGCCTACCTTGTCAGGTCTGGAGCTCAACGTTTCCTCCTCCTCCTCCTCCTCAGCAGGTAGTAGTATCATCGAATGGGCCTTGTTTTCCCGAGTGTAGCGAGGCCGGCTCCTGCGGCCCGGGTCTGGGCTGCTAGTGGCCCCCTCAGCTCCAGCAGGCTCGTCTCCCCGGCCAGGACGGGATGGTGGCCGCAACAGGTCTCCAAGTGTGGTCTTTCGAGTACGGGGAGCTGCCCCGGGGCTGGTCTCTAGGTCCGGCCGTGGCCCCCGGGTTGAACGAGGCTTCTTGAAGGCAAACAGGGTACCCAGCTTCTTTCGCAGTGTGCGGGGGACAGGGGTGGTACCCCCTTCGTTGGCCGAGTCCTCTTCAGGGACCCAGCTGTGGGAACAGCTAGCAGTGAGTGGCAAGTAAGACGGAACATCCCACCCCCTCCCACCCCCTACAACTGCCCCTCACTCACAGGCGATCCTGCTGGATCAGCCTTTTAGAGAAGAATTCCTCCACGCCTTCATCCACGCGGGCACTGAGCCCATTCCCTTCCTGCGGCAGGGCTGGGGGCACCTGGGGGACACCATAGGGTGAGGACTGAGCACAACCATAAATTCTCTGCATCCTTTGATGAGCAGCCTCGCCTGGGCAACTCCTGCACCTGGGAGTTGGAGTGACCCTAGGAGGCTACTGACAAGCATTCCTGCTGTCCAACTGGTGGGCAGAGGTGGTTTCACATACCCCCCTAACCAGAAGCTGGCCCTGGACACCCACACCCAGCCCACACCTGTTCTTGTCCCATAGAGTATCAACGCCCTAAACCATCCTGTCACCAGCAGGCTAGAACCCACAGGCTTCTGAGTCACGTGTTCCCATTTGCTACCCCCCTCTGCTCCAAACAGCTCCCTGCAGTACCCTCCACCCCCACCCCACCGGGCCTGCTGGCAGCTCAGCGGCTCCTGCTGCTGCGTCAGACCCTCCTGGGGGTACTCAAGCCAACTCCTGCCTGCCTTCTGCCCTGTGTCCACTGCCCTCACAAGTACCCAGCCCACTCATAACATCTCCCCACAAACAGCTACTGGATGTGCAGTAGCTGCAGGATTGTCCCCACAGCCAGGGGGCCCAGGATCTTTCAGTAACCCTGGGAGAGGGAGGGTAAGATGGACACCCTCTTTCTCACACCCATTTGTGCACAGGGCCAACCTAAGATGCAGTCCTAAACTGAGATGTACCCCAAATGAAATCCACACACTCATGACCCTGCATGGGAATGGCCTAGGGAAGGGGTGTCCGGGAATAAGCCAAGATACAGCAGCACGACCCAGTTACTCTTGGGCCCCTTAACAACCCACCCCCTAGCTGCTTCTCTCCTGAGAAGCAAATGAGGCACCGTGACCCCCCAATTCCACCAGCTCTGGAATGGGGGAAGGGTACTCACCTGAGGGCCCCCCGGTGGCGGACGGTGGTGGTGCTGGCGCCGCGGCCGCGGCCGGGCCCGGGTCGGATGGCGCAGGGGGTGCCCAGCGGGTGGTAGGTCCATGCGAGGCAGTGGGCCGGCCTGGGGACCCGGGGTGGCGGGGCTCGGAGAGCCACGGGCAGAAGGCCCCGCCTGCGGCTCCGCATCTTCCCCCGGAGCCGCCAGCTCGGGCTCCGGTTCCTCAGCAGCACCTAAGGGGAGAGCACCAGAAGAGTACCGAGCAGTAAGCCCGGGGAGGAGGTGGTGGCAGCAGCGGCGCTAGGGCGGCGGGGGACCCGCCCAGGGCGCAGGGAGGGGCTCGACTACGCCACCCCCACCTCCCCCACGCCTGCCCCTCCCCCCGCCGCCGCTGTCCGTGGTGCTGAGCGCGGCCCCGAGCGGCGCGGCTTTGCTCTGCCGCCAAGCATGCGCATCCTGGGGGTAGGGAAAGGGGCGGGGGAGGCGAATGGAGAGTGTCTGGATCCTGGTCTGCTCAGGTCCAGCTCCATGCTGACCGTAGCCAACTCCAACCTGCAAGTTGCATGGGGAACCTGGCCTGGCTCAGTCAAGGGTCAGGTAGTTCCTAGGACAAGACTGAATGAATGTGTCCACATGTCTAGGTCCCCAGATCTAATGTAGGACCTTCAGCTCAACCTGGTTAACTCCCTTTCCCCCAGACGCTGACTTACTGTGAGTGGAGAGGACCAGGGGAAGACACTGGCTGGACTCAGGCCATTTCTGTGGAGGATTGTCATGCTGGTGAGGAGGGCAGAAACTCAGAATGGGAACCAGGGGAGTTGCCTCCCTGCTTTCCACACTTCATAGCAAGATGGGGAGATGCAGAGTTCTGGAACCACCTACCTTCTGTTCCTCTTCATCCTTCTGCTTCTCCCTCACCTCCTCAGGGAAGAAAAGACCTTCCAATTCCCCAGGCCCAAGGGGGCTGGGCTCACCTCCATCCAGTGCTGGTATGGCAGGAGGCATTGCCACTGTTGCCTGCTGAGCCAGACTCTCCACCTGCAATAAGGCACCCTAAAGATGGGCAGGGACACCCTAAAGATGGGCAGGGACACCTAAAAATGGCCTCAGCCACAGTCCCATCAGTGCTAAGGAAACCCTGAAATATCCCTGGGCCATATGATCCTAGAAAACATTACAGAACCCCTGCAAGGCAGTGGCCAGGTCACTGTGTGTATGTGTGCATGTGCACTCACGCACATGAATGTATGCACAATTCTCCCTCACCAGCCGATCCCGGGCTGCATTCAGCCCCTCCAGAGCCTGAGCCACAATGCTCTCTGCCAAGGTCCCTGTGACTGACAACCGCATATCCCTGAGAGCAACAGAGAGCAAAGATTAGTGTGCTATCCATGCCCAGTCCTGTCTAGTCCAGTCTAGCCCAGTCCCATCCAGCCTACCTGAGCCTAGTGAAGGCATCTTGCAGCAGGTGCTCTGGGAGCAGCTCTGGGAGGCCCCTTGAGCCCACCAGGACTCCCTCTAGCTGCTCCCTCCACCTGGGTCCCTGTAGCATCTGTGGGCAGAGGCTCCTTGTTGTGTCCAATGTGGCCTGAGTGAAATCCTGGGTAAAGATTAGAGCATGGAGGGTGTAGCCTGAAGCTCCAGCCCCCCACAGAACAGTGACTCCAGGGATATCACAGTCAAACCTATGGGATAGGGGTCAAGCCTATATGTGGAGGTGGAGGTGGAACTGGGGCTAGGATACCATCTTACCTGAATGTCTTTACGGCAGACCTCGCCCACCTGTCCCAGGAGACCCTCTAGCTTTTGTCGCAGCTGCCACTGATGACTTGGAGAGCTCCCAGCCTCATACAGAATTGGGAGAATCTGGAGGCCAGAGGAGAAGGAGTTGCAAGTTGACACCTAATTAAGAGGGGGAGGGCCTTTGCAGCAGTGATGGGGAGGGGAGTGCTCACACTGAGAGAGAAGTTGGCATTTTGGATGGCATCCTCAGCCTGGTGCACAGCGGCTTCACCCTGGGGCCCAGCGCCACAGCCCAGTAGCTCCACATGCTCCTGCACTGACTGACACAGTTCATTCACTTCCTGGAGTGGGGTGGGGGCGCGTCAAGAATCAATCCCATTTGTCCCCTCCCGCCCCTCCAGACTCTGTCTCCTTCCCAGGGTATCCAACAAGGTAGGTGAGGTCCTGAAGCCAATCCCATCGGGCCAGTCACTTAGGAAACCTATCTAATCAAGGAGGACAAGCAGTGTCTCCTTTGGTTCATTTTAGGGACTTTATATATATATCCTAAGTGTCCTGAATAGGAAGAAAGGAGCTGTTAGTCATGTCTATGTTTTAGATGCTCAGTCTGTATATCATCTATGTAGAAGACAGACTTATGGGTGGGCAGAAATGGGAGTGAGGTGAGGGGCCTGTGTGGCTCAGTCAGTTAAGCATCCAACTCTTGATTTTGGCTCAGATCATGATCTCATGGTTCATGGGATCACACCCCTAGTCAGGCTCTGCGCTGTCAGATTCTTTCTCTTGGGATTCTCTCTCCCTCAAAAATAAACATTAAAAAAAAAAAAAAAATGGTTGTGAGGAGCCATGGATGAAAGACCAGTGGGAGCAAGAGATAGCTGGGGTGGGGATAAGAAGTAGTGTGTGTGAGGTCTGTGGGGGCTCTAATGTGGCCTGGAGAGACCTGACACTTGGTGAGTGTGGGCATCAGGGAGATTGGGTTCCAGGGTAGAGAAGAGTTTGTGCAAGATGATGAATCTGTAGAATGAAAATCTACACTTGAAAATCTGTGGAATGTGAAGCCCCTGAAGGATGTCTGGGTCAAAATCCCTGGGCTCTAAAGCATGGGATTCAAGAAAAGATAGGTGGAAAGATCTCACAAAGGCAAGGTAGTAGAGGGAGATGAAAGCAGAAAAAAGGCCGCTGAGTTTTGTCCCAGCAGAGGTCAGTGGAGAGGGGACAAAAGCCCTATGAACAGGTAGTCACAGATGAGGCTACAATCACCTGGAAGTGGTAAGGTGGTTAAGGGAGGATTTCAAAATAGCTCCCATCTTGAACAGGAGAGCCTGTTTAAATGCTTTTAAGAGGCATCCAGGGGGGTTTGGGCGAGCTACGAATAAGAGGGACTTGTCCAGGACAGTATAATTCAGGCATCCTAGCCCCAAGAAAGACCCTCAAACTCACAGAGGATCTCAAGTGCCAAAGCTCTTCCCAGTCTTTTCGTCTGTGCCTATTCAAGATTGAGGGAGGGGACACTAACCTGCTCTGAGGGGTCTGAGACCAGACCGGGTGGCTGCAGACAGGAGGAGGTACGATCAGAAGAGGCATGGTCCGCACAGTTATTCCGCAAAAGACAGGCTTGGATCTGGGGACAAGAGATATTGAGAAGTGGTAGGAAGCAGGGCTACCAAGCAGAGCAGGGCAAGGGAGGAGAGGGAGCCATACCTGATGCACTGCACGTGCGGTCATTTCCGGTCGGCTGCGATGTGCCTGGGCCACGTCGTTCAGTGGCAGAGGCATGGCCTTTAGGCTGCGGTTTTGCTCCAGGGCCTGTGCTACGTCCAGCAGGCCCAGAGCAGACGTGTGATTCCGGTCCCAGATCACAGACCTGGGCCAGGCCAGGCTTCAGTCAAGGGCCGAGCTCCACAAGACTCCACCCAACCCGCTGGCCTCGCCTATTCGCCTTGCACACAGGCCACCGCATTTTTTCCTCCACATTCAGCCCCACCCCTTAGCCCAGTAAGCCCCTCCACATCAGCACTCCTCCCCCTCTGACCCCGCCCACCGGAGCCTTGTGTTGACCCGAAGTGCCTTGGCCAGCAACTTGGCGCCAGTGTCCCCCATGGCGTTGCCGCTGATATCCAGCGCCGTCAGGTTTGGATTGGTGCCCAGAGCCCGGAGCAGGACGCTGGAGGCCAGCTTCAGCCGCGACTCAGCCACAGACAGAGACTGTAGGGGCTGGAGTTAAGAAAAGGCCGTTTGGGTTTGGAATCAGCGGTCAGCAAGGAGGGCAAGTTACAGGGTCTGAGAGAGGAGGAGTCACAGAGGTCCATTGCCTGAGGATCCCACACTGTCCCAAGAACTCACACAGTCGTCATCCTGCATGAGCTGGACAATCCGGTGCAGGACGTCGTCCAGGGTCTCCCTGTGGGGCAAGGGCCACGGTTTGGAAGGACCTGGGTGGGGTGGTGGGGTGATGTCTGGGAGGCCCAGGAGTGGGATGGGGGCTCACTTGCACCGGACGTTGAAATTCCTTCCAAGTGCGACATGCCGCAGGGACCGACTCCTTCCGATGGCCAGCACCAGAGTCACCATGTCTGAGCCGAAGCCTAGGGGTGGCTCGGGTCACGCATAAGGCGGGGCTGGGGGTGAGGTGGGAACTGGGTGGGCAGTGGGAGGGTCGGTTTCCGGGCAGCCTCACCATTATCCGCCAGGTCCAGGGAGCTCACTGCGCCGGCGTCGCACACTAAGTCCTGTATCACCTGAGCGCCCGCTGAGCGCAGCTGCAGGTGGAAGGTGAGGCACGCTCAGATCAGTGGCCCCAGGTGCAGAGGCTCAGGCGCCCGCGGGCCGGCGCTCCCCGCCTCGCAGCCCCACTCCGCGTGTGTGCCCACGGCCTGCTCACGTCTCGGGCCGGGCGCTCACCTCACAAGCGCTGAGGTCCAGGTGCAGGTCGCCCGTGTGCGTGTTGAGCGCAAGCCCTTCCAAAAGGGCCCTGGGAGAGGATGTCACGGTAAGTGGCGGGAGCTGGGAAAGAGGGCCCCAGGGCGCGAACGAATACCAAGAAGAAAGCGCCAGGATACGGGAGGTCGAGGGGGCGATAGGAGCGGGGCGAAGCTCTGGGTCCCCGGCCTGGGTGGTGGCCGCACACGCCGGGGCGTAACCCTAGGCAGCGACACTGACCTGAGCGCGTCGGGCGGCAGCTTACAGCCCGCCAGGCACAGGTGCCGAAGCGTCCCCGCGCGGCTGAGGAAGAGTTGGAGCGCGTCGGGCGCAGCCCGGGACTTCCTGGGGTGGGCGAGCGGGAGGAGTGGGCTTCCGGGCGCAGGGAGGCGGCTCCCCGCAGTCTCCCACCCCCGCCCGGACCCGCCCCCCTTACGTGCGGGAGAAGACGTTCCTCGAGGCATCCAGGTGGCTGAGGCAGGTGCAGCAGCCGCCTGCCAGCGCTGCGAAGAGCTGCGGGAGGAGGGTGTGGGCTACACCGGCGGAGGATTGAGCTCCCTGGCTCCCCCCGGCCCCCACGGGTCTACCCTCAGGTCTCGGGCCTGGCCACCTGCCCTACTGATCATCCCCCCACTGACCACCCTCTCACAGTGTCCAGGGCGATGTCGGTGCCCGCGAGATTCAGGAACGTCAGAACATTAGGACGGCTCAGGAAACTATAGAGGCCCTGGTGGGAGGATGGGAGTCAGGGGGTCAAGCATCACCTCATCAAGAGCTTCCTGATTTCCCACAGTCTGCAGCGCCCCCAATCATTGGCCCTAAAGACAGCCACTCACCCCACTGTCCTCCGAGGCCCCCAGCGCCCCAGGGTTCCCGGAAAGGTCCAGGTGGGTCAGGGCAGAGTCAAAAGCCACATTGGAATCCAGGGCCTGGCCCAGAAATCTCATTCCTGTCGTGGAGAGAGTGGCTCAGCAATCAGGTCGATTCACCTCCCCTCCCTGTTCTGACCACACCACCTACCTCGAGGTGTCAACCCTGTCTGCGCTAGGCTGAGTTTCCTCAGTGCTCCAGGACGAAGCTCTAGGTGTTTGCTGAGAGCAGCCATGCCTGGGGAATGGGGGCGGCTGTGTGGCTCTCACATCCTCTAGCACCAGCCCCCCAGGCAGTCCCTTGGCTCAGGCGTACCTCGGTCATCCATCAGGTTCCCCGCCAGGCTAAGCTCCCGGAGGGCAGAGCTCGAGTGCCCTGCCAGTGCTTGGGCCAGTCGCCGGACAAAGTCTCTGGGGACCAGACCCCAGGTGTGAGAATCTGACCCCGGATTCCCATCTCCACCCGAGGCCACTAGCCTCCCAACCCAAGCCCCCAGATTCCTGCCTCCAAGCCCTACCCTTTCCTCCTTACCCCCTCAGGCCACAGTTCTCGAGCACTAGCTCTTCCAGGTGGGATGACTGACTCATCATGTGCAGAATCTGTTCCGAGACCTCAAGGCTCTGAGAACCAGAGTAGGGGCTCAGTGAGCTGCACCCTGGCCACCATACCCTTGGCTCCTCCCTGCCCCTACACTCTCACCAGCTTCATGTCCACACAGGAGAGGCACTGGAACCACAGGTTGTAGGACAGAGCAGCCACACTCAGGGCCAGGTCCCTGAGTGGGAGAAGGGGCAGGGGCAGAGCTCAGGGCCCTCCAGCCAGATCCTAGGCCCACCACCCCCCTCCGTGGAGAGGCTGAGGCCCAGGAATGTGGGTTATGGGATCTCCTTCCCTTCCCAGTCCTGGCAGGCCACACACCGACTGCCCAAATGGCTGAAGTCACCTAGGCTGAAGTGGCGGCAGCCCTGTCGATGGTAGATCGTGTCCACGTCCTGGATGGGAAGAAGGTATCTCCAACTGGCTTTGGGCCATAAGGGGTAGAGGGGACCCAGTGCATGTGGGGGATCAGATGTCTCCAGAGTTCCCCAAGGAGGGCCCTACTCTCACCCACTGAATCTCCTCTCGGAAAGGGAAGCCATTGTAGTCACACAGAGCCTCATATGTCTCCAAGAAGCCACCTGCGGGAGGTGCCAGGGGTGTAATGGGTGAGGAAGAAGAGAAAGACAAAATGTCAGAGATGGAGGAAGATCAGATCCAAGCTGGGTGGTGGCTGTACCTCGAGTGACTGTTCAGTTTGGGGGATGCCCAATCCAGGGCTCTGGGGCTGCAGGATGGGGGGAGGCTGAAAGCTCTCTGTGCCCTTTGCTTGGTCCTTACCACAGGGGCTTCTGGGCACGGTGTCTTCGGAGGGGCTGCTTCTCTCTAGCCGAGCCAGCATGGAGGGGGATGTGGGCTTCCGGAATAGCTTCCTGGAGAGGGGGATAAGGGAGAAGGGGGCAGGGCACCTGTAGCCCCTAGGATGGGAGGCAACCCATTTGTATTATCCAGAGCACCCCCTACTGCCCTCCTTTCTTGCTGGTCCCTTATAGTTGTCTGGCCTCACCCAAGGTTCGAGCGAGGGAAGACCTTCTTGATGGCTGCAGCAATGTGCTGGGCCAGCTGTTCCAGGGCAGCCACACCAGGAAACTCCAGGACCAGCTCAGGCAGAGACTCCAGCTCAAAAGTGACCTGGGGAGGGAGGGCTGCTGGGTTGGGCTCCAAGTGTGGGGTCAGGTGGGAGAGGAGGGGAAGACCAGGCTGCAGGCTGTGGTGGGGTACCAGGTGTCTCACCTGAGGGGGTGTCTCCTGCAGTGCCATGGCCTGGACCTCCAGGTAGCTGAATGTGCAGTCGACCTATGGAGGGCCTGAATCAGCTGGAAACATGGGCCTAGCCCTGCGCTCCTGGGACCCCAGTCCTCTGGGCAGAGCCCATAGGACAACACAGACAACTCAGTGGAGGCAGCCCTCATCAAGGAAGCTGCTGGAGGGCAAGGGGTGAAGGGTGGCGGTCAGCCCGTGGTACTCACTCTCAGGGGGAGGCAAGTGTGGAGCAGGTAGGCTCTCCATCGTAGCAGTGCCTGGGGGAAGAGAGTGTCTGACCCCCTGGGCAGGGCCAGAGACTATCTGCCTGGGCCCCAGTGGCCCTCCCGAGCTCTGCCCCCTGCCATACCAGGACATGACCTCGCTCAGCACCCTCCCGTTCTGGTAGCCAGGTTTTCAGCAGCAGCTCAGCCTCCTTCGGCCACAGGAATCTGGTGATCTCGCCTGTGGAATGGCAGCCTGCTGGGTGACTTTGGTCCCCTCTCCCACTCCGGGAGGTCAACTCGGGCCCATGGTCTGTACCAGGCTTGTGGCCTGAGCTCATCTATGGGCCAGTAAGGAAGGAGTGGAGTGGATGTGGGGGCACCAAACTCTTCCGAGAAGCAGAGAGAACTGCTTGCAGGAGCCCCGGAACGCTGGGTGGGCTTCTGGCTTTGGAGCCAAGTGGGTGGGAAGGGCCGGCGCTTACCTCGCAACTCACAGGATATGCCGTCGGGGGTCTGGGCCATGGGGCCGGGCCGGGCCGGGCCGCCGGGTGGCCCAAAGAACTCCGACAAGAAACAGTAGCGGGCGGGCCCACACACAGGAAGCCTGGGGGCCCTGGCCCGCACTGCAGCCACCTGCTCCTCCTGCAGCGGAAGGTACGCGCGCTGCTTCCTGCCAGGCCGCCCCCAGCCCGGCTCCTCCCCGCCCCGGCCTCCGCGGGACAGGAGGTGTGGGAGGGGTGCAGAGTCCCAGCTGTCCGCTCGCCCAGTCGCGCAGGAACTACTCTGGCAAGGCAGACACAGGGTAGCAGTGGTGTGGCCGGGAGGGTAGTGCGTGTGGCGCGCGCCTCTCGCCGTTCCTAGCCCCCTCCTTCCACCCCGCACCGCAGTCCCTGTCGAGAGCACCAGGGGGCGCTGCCCGCTCGGGGATCCCTAAGGCCCACCCGCATTGGTCCCCTCCAAAACTCAGCTGGGGAGATGGACTAGGGGCGGGCTGGGAGCAGTGCCTATTCAGCAGGGAGCAACGAATGTCTCCCAGTAGCTCTCCCAACATCCGGGTCCTAACCTGAAAGGCCTAATCTGTTGCTCCTAACCTGGAGTATGTGACCCCGTCGGGTAGCCACCAACTTTTTTTTTTTTTAAGTGGTCTGCATGGGGGCTCGAACTCACAACACTGAGAGCAAGAGTCACCTGCTCTACTGACTGAGCGAGCCAGGCGCCCCCGAGATCCACTAACAGAAAAATGCCAGATGGGCTCAGATAACCTTCTCTAGAGTGCAGGGTCCCCAGCTTTCATTAGGTTTGGGCTGGAAGGTGGGGAGTACCTTCATGAGGCAGCCTGAACCCCAAGGACTTCAGGCAGGGGTGAGCAAAGGCTAGGCACATGGAAGTCCTCTTATATGTCTGCGTTCTCTCCTTCCCCCGCGCCCTCCCCTCTGCTAGAGTTTAGGGAGGGGGAAACCACTGAAGGAAAGAAAAGCTAGTGTCTCCAGGGCAGGGAGGAGTTAGTAAGTCATGGCGTGAGGTCCTGCTAACCAGAAGCATGCTGCCCTATGAAAGACCAGGGACCTAATTCACAGGAAAATAATTTTTTTCTTCCATTACAATCCAATTAAACTTCACTTACTAGGAACAACTCTCTGTCCTGCCCACAGGCAGAGATGAAAGAAATCATCTTGAAAGTAGATGAGGGACCCCGAGCAGGGGTCCCTTGGTTTCATTCCCATTTAGCTATACCTCCCCACTTCAGGGCTTGGAGATAAGTGGAAACATCTCCAGTCACCTGATCATCCCACCCCCACTCCACCCCCCTCACCTGACAAAATCTCATCTCTACCAAAGGTGGAGACAAAGTGGCAGTAGAAACTGAACAGTAGCAGCTTAGGCAAAGCCTACCCTCAAGCAAAAGGCCTTTGGTGTGAAAGCACAGGGCTGACTAGGGTTGATGGGAAGACTCAGCAGACGGTGCTGAGTTTCTGCAAAGAGGCAAGGGATAGTCCTACTCTGCCATCTCCCAGTTTGAAGGAAGAGTTTGGGTTAAGATCTAGGATCTTTTAAGACCTTTTAAGACCACATAGAACCCACAAGCTGCCTTAGGGTGAGAACTCAGTAGGTCTCTTGCACTTAACATGGCCAAGTGGTACAAGAATGCTGCTTCTAAAGGCTGACTGCCTGAATTTTTAAGTCCTGACTCCAATTCTTTCCAGCGTTCCACACTAAGTTACTTAACCTTTTTGGACTTCCAGTTCCTGTTTCATAAGCTGGAGCTATTAACTTACCTTGAAGTGTTGGTATAAGGATTAAATGCTTTTTAAGTGCTCACAACAGTGCCTGGCATTCAGTGAATACATCTGCCAGGTCTGCCATGGCAACCCCAGGGCTCCATAATAGAAGACCCACCTCAGTGGGACTTCTCTGTTTAGAATAGACTAGGATAAGAAATACAAGAGAGAATGTCTGCCAAAGGAGACTCTTGAGGCCAGCAACAAACTGGTGGCACCTACCCATCTGATAAGTGCTGTTGGGGTGGGCATGGGCTGCTGAGAGGAAACCAAAAATAGCATGGAGATCAGGGCAGGGGTGCCAGAATAGCCACATACCTCCGTAACTGCTGGTGGTCAGGGCGGCAGTGACAAAACTACCACGCTATTAGGAAAGAAGTGAACACATGGGACTCAGCTCCCAACATGTTGAGTGACTCAGGGAGTGGGGGAAAGGCCCTTCAGCTTGTCTGTGTTCTAGATGGTGTGACACTCCGTGGGCGCTCAGGAAATGCTAAAGCTCACAAGGAAGCATAAGCCCCACCTGCTCCAGCAGCACAGGATGAGGCTGGACCGGGCTGCACCCCCAGGCTTGCCACAAGGCTCCCTTCAGATGTTTTGTTTTTTGTTTTTTTTTTTTAATTTATTTCTAGGAGAGAGAGAGAGACAGCGTGAGCAGGGGAGGGTCAGAGAGAGAGGAAGTCACAGACGGAAACAGACTCCAGGCTCTGAGCTGGCAGTCAGCACAGAGCCCGACGCGGGGCTCGAATCCACGAACCGCGAGATCATGACCTAAGCGAAAGTCGGACGCTTAACCGACTAAGCCACCCAGGCGCCCCATCCCTTCAGATGGTTTTAAAAGGCTAGATCCTGGGGCACCTGGGTGGCTCAGTGGGTTGTTTCTGACGTCGGTTCAGGTCATGATCTCATGGTTCATGAGTTTGAGCCCCATATTGGGCTCATTGGTGTCAGCCTATCAATCAGCGCAGAGCTCGCTTCAGAGCCTCTGTTCCTCTTACTCTGCCCCACCCCTGCTTGCACTAGCTCCAAAATAAATAAATGGTTAAACAACAACGTTAACAACAAAAAAACCCCTCAGTCCTGACCAAAGGCAAGAGAACTCAGGTGCTTGCTGGGCAGCAGGGGGGGGGGGGGGGGGGCAGGCGGAGTGGTGGTGCCAGCCCAGGTGTAGAAAGAGAATATTTTTACTCCAGTACTTGCTATTGGCTTAACAGTGGGGAAGAGCAGACAGGTCAGAGAACTTCCCCATTGAAAGTTCTCTGGTGAGAACTAACTGTTGAGAATTGGCTTCTGTACTTTAATGTTTATATATAAATATAAAAAAATATTTTTAAATGTTTATTTTTGAGCGAGAGCAAGCAGGGCAGGGCAGAGAGAGGAAGACAGAGAATCTGAAGCAGACTCTGAGCTGTCATCTCAGAGCCTGACAGGCTCAAACTCTCAAACCATGAAATCACTACCTGAACTGAAGTTGCAAGTTTAACTGACCCACCCAGGTGCCCCTATTTATGTTTTAAATATAAGGCTCTATGTATATAATGGACTTGCACAAGATACATCACAGGCTATGCAATGAGTTATCACTTTTCAGCTTCTATTCCATCAGAATGTGACTTTTTTTGCCCCCTTTCCATCCCAAACGTACTTTCAACTTTCACACTTTCGACTTGAATGCACACAATGAGAAAAAGCTATGCTGAAAATACAGATAAAGTCCTCACTGTTCTGCAGAGATTTTGTCATAAACACCAAAACTTTAGAAAATTATATGGCCACTGGGACAATTCTGGAAGAGGGTACTCTGGCTCCCACGAGGACTGGCCCACGCATGATAGAGACCCAGTATTCTGACAACTTTTGATCCAAGGAGCATGGTTCAGAGTCTTGAGGCCTCGGATACCGGTTTTCCTGGGAGACTGGTCTACGGAGACGGTACAAGCAGCCAAAGGCCACACACATCTCAACTTTTTTCCTTCTCACTGAAAACCGCTAATTTGGAATTCTGGTTTAAAAGCCCAGTAATTATTGGCTGAAGCTTTTACCTAAAACGGGCTTGCCAAAGCCATCTAACCAGAAATGGCCAGCAGCACCAAGATGATATTTCACTAATGCATCAACTTCCTATTCTGACTTCCTTTCCATCCTGTCTCCTGCAGTGCTTAACGAGCTATACCATCTGAGTCTCTCTCCCTGCAGCCTGACGACTATAGGCATCTCCCCTCCCAAATGAACTTCTCTAGAGCAAACTGGGCCCAGCTTCTGTTGTCCTGTACTTGACAGAGCTCAAGTGAGCCCAGCCCTCAGTGAGCTGAGATCCAGAGCACAGAACTTCCCATGAGCCCCTTCTCTAACACCTGAGGTTATCCCTCTGCCACAGGAACCCACTCCTAAGGTCGATCAGTCCATCCACACCTTGCCACTCACACACACACCTTTGGGGAGTTAAAACCTGTGGCAGGATGCACTCAATCCAACCACTTGCCAAGATCATCTCCTAAGTGCTAGGGAGGAAGTGGCCATCCTGTAGAGCAGAGCTTGCCTCTGAAAGGTGAAGAGGCCTGCAACGCCTGAGGCCACGCACGTGGACCCTGTGGGGGCCCCAGCAGGCAGAGATCACACATGATGGAGTATCTGGAGCACTTGTTAATCCGTTATGATTTATTAGCTGTACAGCAGTAGATCCTCCTCCCCAGCTTTCAACCCCATTACATATTTTATTACAGGTCTCATGTTGGTGTCCTAAAATAATGAAAAATATCACACAGTACAGCTAAGTACAAAATGCATCAACCTAGAGTCTGATAGCTAACTGATGGCTCTTTTAAAAGCAATACACAGAAGAAAAAAGTGTTTGAAATCAGCAAGACTGAGGCTCTCTAAAAACACATTTTAAACATGTGACAGTTCATGTGCAAGAATCACTTTTTAGTTGGTTTTGTTTCACATTATTATTATTTTTTCCAGATCCAAAGTTTAAATTACTTGACCTAGTGAAATTTTCTGGCCCAGCTTTTAGGGGCTGCTGTGACCCACTCATAATCATCCTTCTGCTTTAACAGAGGAGTTGTAAAACACAAAATTCAGCTACAAACAGAGCAAAGAAAATGTAGATGGGAAATCATAACTGAAAGTTAATTGTACAAGGTTCAAATGCTGGCTCCATGGGCTGGAAATCCGATCTTCCATGTGGGTGTCCATCACTAGCGGCAGCAGTCCGGGTGCCTTTCTGCTACATGATTGTGATCCAATTCCTTCTCAACATTTACACACTACAGAGTCTGTGGTAACTTAATTTGCAAGTAATTAAAATGCTGGGTTTTCTTACACTGCACTTCTTTTCAACCTCTTAATTAATGGAAAAGATTAAAATG